TTTTGTGCTTTACAAGGTGTCGTATTAACATTATTACAATTTAGATTTCATTAAATAAAAAAAACGTTTTTTTAGGTATATATGGCATTACTGTGTAATAATTGCGTTAAATAAAACATTTTATTCGAACGTTATTGCACTTTACTGTTGACAGTAAATGTCTGCCTCTGTGATACAGTATACATGTATATATTTTTGCACAAGGTCTCAGCGCTGAAGGGTTAAGCAATTGCTGATTGGTCACGGAGCCAGATGGTTCTCATAAATGTGCCTTGAAAATTCTCTTACGGCTCCCCTGTTTTGGGGACACCCAAAAGTCATCATGGCATTCAGAAAGAGAGATGGAACCCGTTAAATTTTTATTGCACACTTGGCCTGTAAAGAACAAGCCAGTCTATAAATATGTGTTTTATATATTTCTCTATATATGTACCGTTTTCTTTTTTACTTTTTAATCTCGCTCCTTTTACCAGATGCTATAGTTTGAAAGCATTGTTTAATATGTACTTTAAATGCTAAATTTAGTACTTGGAGAAGCCATATCAATAGGGGTATTGAATGTCTGTAGAAATATGACAATGTGGTTTTATAGCACAGTGACGTATTGGCATGAAGCCCAAAGCCCCTCTGTGCTTTTAGCGATTGTACCTTTCACTTCTCTTGGCAATGAAATATATTTACCGGTAAACAATGAGATATTAAATTATCACATCAAAATCAGGGTTATGAGCTACTATAATGTATTATTGCATAGAAAATAAGACAAATTGTGAACTTTTTTGGAAGCCATATTCAAGAAAGAAAAAGGGTTGCAGTGCAAAACAGTAACAACAAAATCATCATCAGCTGATACCCAGGGGACTGAATATGAAATCTCCAAGTGTAGATGATTCATCACCACGCTCCAGTCATCACTTTGATTCTACAAGTAAAAAGCAACCGTTGACTTCATATTTAATCCCAGAGAGGCTATACAGGTCGTTAGTGGGCTTAGCGGATCTATCATGCTGTTTGGCATTGGGAGAGAGCTGCAGGCCACATTTTTTTTGCGTGGGTGGAAAGTAAGAGAACAAACACAAGAGAGAGCTTCCCGGGCAAATGCTTTTATGATTCACATGATGACTCTGCGCGAGATGCGGCGGGTTCATTTGCTCACAGAAAGTTTTGTGGACACTGCACCAGTGATCGTAGTGCTGCCATTACTTTTTTTCCCTGCACACACATTCTCATGTTTGTATACATCTCAGATGTCAAGCTATATTCCTTTGATATCATCTCATTTTATTTTTACAATACTGACATACAGGGGCCTGCCTTCTCGTCGTTTCCGTCCATTAGCCACGATGAACTGTGCACGTTCATCACCAGGGATTAAAGTAGCTGATCTGTCTGGCCTGAATACCACAGTGGAATCTGAGTGGAATCGGACCAATTCTGTGGATTGGGGACCGGCAGTACCATTCAATTGTGATGCTGACCTCCTGGAATTCCACTGAATCACCATTTTGACGGACTGGAATCAATGATGACTAAGCTTTGCCGTACTTCGTGGAAGCCAGATGCCATGTGCCATCATGTCGGCAGGCGGCAGGGTGGCGTAGTGATAACACTTAGTGCCTTAAAGCCAGAAGGACCTGGCGACAATAGCTCACCCAGGCACCTTTCTGTGTGGCGTTTGAATGTTCTCCCTCCATCCTCTATGGGCTTCCTCAGGGCCCGGTTTTCTGCCATAGCTAAAAACACGAAATGCAACAGTTGTTGGTCAAACAATCCAGTGCTGAAAAATTATATGCAAATCATTCAATTGGGATTACAACTCACAATATCGCCCCCTTATGTTCAACCTTGGCAGGGCCTTCCTGAAAAAGTGTTGAGACTTGGTGAAGCTTTTTATTGTAAACAATCTGAGTAATAATAATAATAATGTCTTGCTTGAACGCAATGTCTGAATTGTGGTGGAATTGGGCCAATTCTGCTCACGAGGCATCAGCTATTCATTTCAGCGTTGTTTTTATACATAGCCGGGTGTGTAATGAGTTGTATGTATGTATGTTGAAATTATTCCGCACCGTGCGTAGCCAACCATGCTAATCGGTGGTGCGGTAAGGTTAGATGTTCAGCATTACATTTTGGAGGTGAGAGCTTAGCCTGAAATTGGTGTGTCCTTTGTGAAAAAGGACAATTTACTCAGATTGGTCTCTGTTCTACAATTTCAAAGAGGAGGAGATGACTGGCACATTGCAGTAAGCCTTCAGCTTGTCATGCTTCGTTTCCGATCCAGTGGCTTTGGATAGAGAAGCACAGCTTTTGCTGCATATACTTTTCGCTTAAACAACTTCTCTTGCTGTGTTTATAAATAGCTCCCATTCCAGGAACCCCGCAATATTTATTTGCCACAACAGCTTTGTTGCACATGAGTGGCTGTGTTACGTGTAGATTACACACCGCAGGTTCATATTTTTTGCATTAAATTCCCTGCATAGGTGAGCCATCTCACTCTGAGGAGCAAGAGTTGTAACACTTTAAAATTGGAAATGTTTACATTTGGAGAATAGTAGCGATGTTGATTTTTCACCAAATGTATTATTTTGGATCACATCTTTCAGACATTAGCAGTCTTCCCGAATACAAAGGCAGTATCAGAGAGATGTGCAACAAAGGATGTTGTATCAAAACGTACTTGTGTCGTTTGGAAATTGGAAGTGTGACAGCAAAGTTCACGATTTTACATTGTGGATTGTACCCCCTTCATGGTTTAGCTCAAAAGGATCTGGGTCTCAGCAAGTGTTTTCTGAACGACTCTTTGATAAGACAATAATCACACCCAGAGCCCATTGCGGATAGCTAATCAAAGCGGATAGCTAATCAAAGCGGATAAATTCGAGCCAGTGAATTCATTGTATCTATCTTTCAAAATCCAAACATTTATTGACATGAAAATGTACTCCAATCAAATTACGGTTTACCTTAGGTCACGTACAAATTTGTGAAGGTTCACCGCTTGAGTCAGAATCACAAAATGCGCACGTAAATATTTAAATATACCGTCCAGTTATATATCTAAGCTCTCTTTATGAAATCCCAAAGTAAGCTTGCACTACACATTTCAAAATGCGCATTCAGAATTAGATGGTGCACTTGTCAAGTGCTGGACAGGATGTCATGGCTTGGCACCAGCAGTCAATTGCTCCATCAACCATTTTGCTGCACTAGGAAATACCTTTGATTAATCCATACACTGAGACTCAGGGAGTGTTTGTTCGAGTGCTAGTGACGGTGATGTAATTTCAACTTGGCACGAGGTCACGTCAGGACACGTCAAACCATGGAACCGTTGCCAAGTCTCCAGCCAAGTGCCTACTGGGGCTACCCAGGCGCTTAGTGCCACATGACAGGCATTAACATCACCGATATCAGAGATGGAGATGAATTTAATTTATACGGACTGAATTGACGCAGTCATGTCATAGCTTCAGTTAGATGCTTCTGGTGGTGTATGTGAATTATCATTGAAGCTGTATTTTGTTATTGGTATTCGACTTTGCATTGGGCAAAATCACATTATTATTTGCACTTTCCACTGTTTTAATCTCATCATCATGTCATCCCCAATATAGAGCTCAACAGCCAGGTATAATTTACCATATTGATTGAACGAAAATTGGACGCATTGATACGTTGCTTTTTGATAAAATGTATCTTTAGCAAAACACTCCAACCCTAGTACTAGTCCACATCTTACCTTCAAAATTAGCACAGTCTGACCCTGGTGACTTAAGTGTGATTCCTAGCCGCAGATAATATCGGTGGTGAATCGTTGCAGAACCAGTCCTGGGTCCCCCGATACCTTGAAGTACGGTCAAACAACCCCCCATTACTAACACACCATGGGTAGGACATCATCTAACAGTAGGTTGCCAAAGGGTTTTATATTATTATTGATAAATATATTAGCATTTGCATCTATATTCTGTGTAACAGCAATCACCTACAGTTACTCATAAAAGACCCAATTTGCTCTACAAATGAAAACAAATATCTTTAAATATCTGGATTTTCGTAACCACAATTGTATTTACATTATTCAGCGTTATTTGGCTAACAGTTGACTCAGTTCACATTCTTCTGGTAGACAAAGTAAATATTTTTCGTGGATAGTTGTCTTTAATATATATAGACCGTCTCCTACTATAGAAATATATAATTTCTACCACTTCTCAAGATCATCAATAGAGATGATCACTGCCTCCTGCTCATTTTGGCAGGGGTACACTTTAACCTTTGAATTGTTACGTATAAATAAGCACAGCTATACGAATGACAACCTTTACACAGCAGTGGGTATACACAGTTATCATCATCAGCCACGATCAATCCACTGCAATGGAACACAGCATGAGAGTGCAGGTCTTAAAATACAATGCATTGTTATTTCGTAGAGGTGTAACAGTGCATCAATTCTCGACATCAATTTGTATTCTGTTGCAATCCCCCAAAAATGCCATACGAAACAAGCAGAAGAAGTGCATCAAGTCAAAAATAAATGTTGATCCTTACCTTTCTGACGCATCCATCGTCTTGAATTGAGCATTTTCAATTTGCATATGCTGCACGTTATTGTTTCACGTGATTTCTTCTTGTGCTGCCATTCACAGCGGTGTTCATCAAAGAAACCTAAGTGTAACGCTTAATTAACTTTGATTACATAATTGCGACACTCCGTCGTATCACCTTGTCGGTTAATAATTCCGCCCTCTACATTGTAGGCTGCAAAAAAAAAATGTGTATGTTTTGGTGAATGCCGTGTATGGTAATACATGCAAACACACGACTTGCACAGACAAGCGCTCACGTGCACTTACGCTGAGACTGCACTGTGTACGTTTGTTTTTCTTCATCTTCTGCCGTGTGCATGCCTCCCATTACAGCATCTCAGAATGTGTTTGTTCCGAGCACTTCGAGCACGACGATCGTCCATGACGATCCTCTTGTCTTCCCAGCTTCCATGACGAAAACGCCACCACCACCAACACCACCACCACCACCACCTCCTCCACACCTGGTCCCAATGTCCCCTTGCCAGCGGCACGTGTGCCTAAACGGTGGCACTTGCCGGGACGTGTTGCTTCCTGGGGAGATGGTGATGTCCTTCCGCTGTGACTGCCCTCTTCACTTCACAGGACACTTCTGTCAGCTGGGTATGACTCTACTCTCCTCCTTTTGCAAATATAGATGAGTATGCGGTGCTAACATGTATGATGTGTACATCTACCTGAGAAGCATACAATTACACTTTGCACATGTTTTTGTTCGAAATAATAATGAAATGTTTTTAACATATATTTTTTTATACCTTTAAACTGGGTTTGTTTCAGAAATCAGAAGCCTTTGATGGTTAAGGACATTTGAGAATGTATTTTATCTTTGAACAAGGAGGGATGGATTGAAGGAATTACCTCAGATCATTTTAACACGTAGGCTTTCGCGACCAATATCATCCATAATAGAGGTTTTTGGGTTAGATCATGTAAAATTGTTTTTATGCGAACTAACCCAAAAACCTCTATGATGGACCTCAGATCATTTTCATTCAAGTTCCAGTGTATATGTTGAACCAGTTGAGACCTCGTGAGACTGGGATAGAGTTTCATTTGCAAGCGTGATGTTGACTAAAATAAAACAAGCAAAAAAATAAAAAAATAAAGTTCAGTTGTGAAGCAAAGAGGAAATAGATCCGGTCACGGGTTATCAATATATTGTATTGCCATATCGATGCTGCTTTTTTGCGATGTTTAATTCGCATAGAGGTGCTGGAGATACTGTATACCCAGTTTTTTTTTTTACCAATGTGCTGCATACTAAAATAACCGTCTTGTTGTCAGGTAGCCACTGTTACTCATCGCATTGTAATTGTACGCTGTCGCAGTACGTCGGTAGCAGATCCATCTTTTGCTTTGGCTTCATCTTTGGGTTTTTTAAATTGCACCGGTGTCACTGCATGTCTATAGAATACAATGGAAGTAGTGAAGTGGGAGGATAACTGATTTTTTTTTCTTGTGAAACAAAGCGCTATCATTTGTATCTATTAAAGGCTGTTAACGCAGTCAAACCAACTGCCAAAATTCACATGCGTGCATTCACTGAAGCTATGAATGCTGACACTTGCACTTTTGACACATACCGTATAGTTGGCATTTAACAATGCATCACTTGAAATGTATTCCTTTGCTCATGGTTACTGATTTAAATTGTGTGTGTCTCTGAGAATCAATCATTATTAGTATTAATGCGCATGACAGGCCAGAGTGATGGTTATGAAACATTTAGGCTCATGGATGAAAACAAAACTGTGTAAATGAAACAGAAACCACGAGAAACAATATGAGCAATACACTAAAAACAAGATTGAAATGTGACTTTTAAAAATCCAATTGTAACCTTTGGTCCAATTTCTAGGAGGGTGGATCGTTGCACGTCTACTTAATGGTACTCGTGGTATTTAATACATATTCAAATAAAGAGGGGTATTTCTTAAAGTGTCCATGCCTTTGATTTGTAGCAAGTGATTTTTTTTTTAACTTTCACACCGAGGTATATTCATCACTGAAAGCTGATATTCCCATAAGGAGAAAACAGTGTAAATATAACGGTCACGATATTTGACGGTACTTTATAAAGTGCGCAATCGTGTATGCATAACCCATTGCGTTGCAAATCTTGGATTGGGATTTCCTCTTACACAGAAGGAATCCATTTTTAATGCTTTTCTAGCCAAAGTTAAAAGTATTCGTGCATCCGCCTTGTCCGTTTTGCCCATCCGTCTATCATCTGTCTCTAACAAGCGGGGTAATAACCGCCGTGAAGGTCACCCAACATAAACGAAACCTAAATCTAAAGTTCTGTTGCTGTTACGGACTAACCCGAAAGAAAACCAACCGAATTTATCAAAGAGACACTGATACCGTTTAAGCAGAAGCCCCTCCTTCCGTCATCTCGTCGCAGCCTACGAATGTAACTCGCTGACCCGCCCACACTGGACATCTTTGAAGAAAGAGCTTCATAGCTCATCGGATTCCTCCAGTCTAAATATCGTGTCTGATTCTCATGCACAGCTTCCTGTGTTAGTACGACCATTATTAATACTATTAAATACTCCCGAGATAAGTGTTACAAAAGCCATGCATATGAATTACCTTTCTTCCTTGTTAAAATTATATACTTTTCATGAAGAAAATATGTCATCATCATCATTTATTTAGGGAGTTATTTTGAAGACATTTTTATTTGCATTTGGGCAATATCCCAAACTCTGAGAAATAATCAACGTGAAGAAGTGCCACTTAAACTCCAAATCTATGACTCTAATCTTTGTACTACCCATTCGAAGCATCTCAATGAGCTATAGTTTTACTGAAAATGTGCTCATGTTTGAAAGTGCGACGAAATGAATGCAGCATTTTATGATGCACATGTAGAGAAATCATTTTCCCTTATGTGGATTTTTTTTCCGTTGTATTTCTGAGCAATGATATTTTTGAGTAGGTAGAAGCTGAAGTAGTAGGTTTTTGATATAAACTGCAAGTCTAGTTGAAACAGCTTTTTTGTTTTGCAGCAGCAATAATAATAACACGGCTGCTAGCCCTCAGTGATACAACTTTTGATTTAATTTCTTCACGGAATGGTACATTTTCTTAAAAGCATTTTGTACGAAGGTCACTGCTATTTGGGGCTAGGGTAAAGTGTGGAACGTTTTTTGTCCATAGGACACGTATTTACAGATATTATTAATTTATTTATGCAATACAGTTTTTTATATTAGATTTTGTCCCTAATACAGTTTTTATTGGGTTAGCTTACGTAAATATATATAAATGTGTCATTAAACCTGCCACCACCCGACACAGCCAATTAGTAAGGTTTGTCGCATGAACAGAAAATGCCAATTCGTTACGAGTACAGCACACCGGTGTGTTGGAGAGCAAAGCTACAACATTTACAATCTGAGAGTTACATTTACAACCTTGGATGTTTGTGTTAGGCCAGGCAATAATGGAGGGAAATGTAAGCACTGCTCCCATGTTAATTTTCTCTCATTTGTTTAAGATCTCTTCACGTGGCTCTGACAATTTGGTGAGTATTGTCAATTGTTTTTCAAGAAGTGTTTTTGCACGTTCACTGAAACATGCGTAATGTACCTGGAGCAAAACACATTCTAGCAAGAAGTCATTGTTCATAGGTCTACACAGATCTCGTCTCATTGCCACCGCACAACATAGCAGGTTTGGAAGTTCCACAAATACACGGGCTCTGCAAATTCACAATTTTTCAAACACTGGATTATAGGCATGTGACACCACAGTTATTTAAGTACACTATGAAATGTCAAAAATATTATTGATCAAGAAATTATATTTAACATTCCTTTCAAACTGTCACCTCAGTGGCAAGCGCATTTTACTACTTCGAGACGTTTTAGCTGCTGAAGTATGACCACATTTATCCTTGCATTTTTCCTCAATTAAATCAAAGCCATTCTTTTGTTTTCATTCGCACGTGCATTTTCCGTGTTCGTTTTGTGGAACGCGGGAGCGATTGGTGTGTGTAAGTGTGTGCATTTGCACAATTTTTTGATCAACAATAAAAAAAACATTTCCAGCCCTTTACGGCTATAAGCCATGAGCGCATACGCCACCAATCAAGAGCACATCGTGTCCCGTCCCCCCCCCCCCCCCCATGAAAGACGTCACACTTTGCTCGTGTTCCTTCCCTCGCCTTGTTACGACACAATAGAGCGCCGATGTCAAGGACATCACCACAATGGCGCACTGCAAAATAAGACACTTGGGGCCACAACTTTATTCGTAAAGCATCACGAGGGTGCAGTGAGTACAAAACGTGTTTTTCTTCAACGAGTTCACAGATTGAAAAGTTGAACAACCTTGGTTATCAGGACTTCCATTTCTACATTGCAGGTTTTTTTTTACCTTTTCTCTCTCGGCCAGAGAAGATACGCTTGGCACGTCAACAACAACAACAAGATAAACACGCACATTCTTGTCTTTTTGCAAATTGCCATTCGGTGTGGGATTTTTTTTCGCTCTCCATAATTTTTGCACGATGCATTCCGTGCGAATGAACTAACATGGCAATTCAAATATGCTCTCAAGTATGCGGCTTGAGTTTGCTGCGTTGATTACACTATGTAACACAATTTTTGTTCCTGGGTAGTAAATGTTATTTCGTAATTGCTAATGCCTAAAAAGTATAGAAAATGGCTATTATTCCCCACAAACTTTGCTTTTGTGACCAGGAAAGTTATATTTTGAAATGTACCTATTTTCAATGAGAAAACGGGAGAATTTGTGTCTTTTCGTTCACATAAAGTCATAAAAAACCAACATATTAATACAAATTAACATGTATTTATGCTTAAGTAATACAAAAATTACTACAAAATATTTAGAAGTGAGTAGTTTTTCAATATTTACGATTATACTGTAAATCACTTTCACGAATCAGCCCCCAAATGCTGTCTCCCATAATGTACTCGTTATACTGTCCTTGGTAGCGGCGTTCAAAGTCCAGTATATCCTGGTGGAAGCGCTCGCCCTGCTCTTTTGCGTACGCCCCCATGTTCTCCTTGAATTTATCAAGATGAGCATCAAGGATATGGACTTTGACGGACATCCTAGAGCCCATTGTGCCGTTGTTCTTCACCAGTCTCAAACAGCTCCACGTAGTTTTCGACCTTGTGATTGCCCAGGAAGCCACGAATCACTGCAAAACAAAGCTGTTCCAAGCCTCTTTCTCCTTACTAGTGAGCTTCTTGGGGAATTCATTGCACTCCAGGATCTTCTTTATCTGTGGTCTGATGAAAACACCAGCTTTACCCTTTGCTTCAGACAGCTTAGGGAAGAAGTCTTGAAGGTACTTGAAGGCTGCCGACTCCTTATCTACAGCTCTGACAAATTGTTTAGAAGGCCCAATTTGATGTGCGGTGGTGGCATCAGCACATTCCGGGACCCCACCAGTGGCTCCCACTTGACGTTGTTCCTCCCCACGGAGAACTCGGTCCGCTGTGGCCAGTCCCGCCTGTGGTAGTGCGCCTTGGTGTCCCTGCCGTCCCAAAGGCAAAGATAGCAGGGAAACTTGGTAAAACCGCCTTGGACACCCATCAGGAATGCCACCATTTTGAAGT